GGGAAGTTTTGTTGCAACACGAGGAACAATGAAGCGCTTAACACTGTTCATGGTGATCACGTGAAGGATTCATTCATCAAAAATTCAGAGCACCTATTTTCAGACTTCAAAAACCTCCACAAAGAGGGTGAAAGAAAAGGCCATTAAGAACATTAATTCAGCTCCAGCAAACTTCAGCCTGTGATGTAATCAATATGAACAGACTGTGCTGTCATGCAGGTGTGTGACCTCTGAGCCAAAAAGCAGATTTATTTACTGTATTTCTACAATCGCAGGAAGGAAAAAAAAATTGAAGTTTGAAGCAGTCGTCACGTGGTGCGTCATTCTCTCCAGGACACGCTGAAGTGAAAATACTCATTTGATAATCATGAATGCTTATTATGTTTTTGTAGCCTTTACTTTGTCATTTAGATATTAGGCTAGTATAGCTAATACAGCTTACAGCCTGTGTTGCTTTCATATAAGCCTTATACAAGGCTCCAGACAGATGTTGTTTTTAGTTTTTCTTTAACCTTTTGAGTTCTCGACCCCTGGTGTAACACATAATTTTGAAATACCATGTTTTTTAAGTAACTTGCCCAACACTGTTACCAGGAAAATGATTCTTCGATTGTTTGACCATGTTTAATTTTCAAGTTCAGATACACAGACAGTCCCTCCATACTGGGACTCATTTGTTATATCTATCCTCAACCACAACAGATTTGACAGAAGCAAATATAGTTTAAATTCACATATCAACATAATTTCTTGTTGCAATTAGAAAGTATTGCTGTGATTTATCTCAACGGCAGTCCCTCTTCAAACAAAACGGTGTTGTTTTGGTTAGCGTTAGCCCATTACCTCCCCATGTGGAGTCATTTGCACATAGATTTGTCATTGATTTCTCTGCAATTGCTTTCCCTGAAGCTGTGCTGTGGCTTTAGCTTGAATAATGCTAATTACATACATCTATTGCATGTCTATTTAAATTGTGGATAATTTAGCCTCAGAGAACGGTGAATTTTGAATGTGATGGTCACTTGAGCTGGAATAACAAGTGTAGCAAAAATGTATTCCAAGCATGTACTGTGATTTTAGAATGATGCATTGGTTACCATGACCAGACCGCGCAGAATACTGAGACGTAAGCATTATTCTTTTTCTTATTTATTAAGGTTCAGATGGTATTCAAAAACTTTTCTTAAGGTGGAGTTTTGCACAGGTCTTAAATAAACATAAACCTTAGTCTATACTAGTATCTCTTTTGAATGGCGATTAATACGATTGAATAACAGATTAGCCGGTCAGAGAAAAAGCAAAGTAAGCAGAGAACGTGGCTGCTTGTAAGGGTAAATTGTAAGTAATAAAAGTTTATTTGTACAGCGCCTTTCACAAACAAGGATCACAAAACGCTTCATAATTAAAAACTTGCTAATTAATAAAAGTTAGTTAAAAATATATATAGGAGCATCATGACTTTACACTTTACACATAAGCCAATGTAAGGTGAGGTGAGAAAGCAAGACTCTTCTAATAAAAATTGCAGAGTTTTGCTATTTTGTTTTGAATGCTGACAGAGGAGCTTGTTCTATAAACAAACTCACAGAAAAATTCCCTTCTGTAACAGTAACATATGCAGCAGACGAAAAGTTAGACAAATGGAGAAAGCTCGTCTGTCAATCAAGGATGTTATTCTGTCCAATTCAGGCCAAGTCTAAACAGTGTCGGGCTGTAATTAACCATTATTTTGAAACTATTAGGTGACCAAACATTCTTTCAAAATAACAAGCAACTTTTAAATGGGATGTTATTATGTTATACACTATACATTTATTAAAAACCAATTAGATTTAAAGTACTTTTTCATCTCCTTCTGCAGTATTTTCTTCTAGTCTAAAAACGACAGAGGTGATTTAAACCTGTGAAGAGCAGAGAGAAAACACATCAAACAGGAGGCGGCCGGTGGATTTGACAACAGCGTGAGGCTCAGTCTGTCTCTGTCTTCAGTTCAGTGAGCGCTGTCAGAGCAGCCGCAGGCCCCACAGTGACAGGGTGGAGCACATGGAGCTCGGGGCCCTTTTTACCAGTGGGGGCCCCTGAGACACAGGGTTTGATATGAGCAGGTGTATAACACAGACAGACAGTATTTATGAACAGACTAATTACATCATAAGGTCCTGGGTTCAAATCCCATTCGGAACAGGGTCTTTTTGAGCAGAATTTGCATGTTCTCCCCATGTCCGCAAACCCAGGGCATCAATATCTTGAGATGAGCACCAGTGCGCTGTACTACAGTGACCTCCTCCTGACAGAGGCCCTAGAGCAGGGATGTCAAAGTCAAATACTGTACATCAGAGGCCAAAAAAACAAATTTGCTACAAGCCGAGGGCCGGACTGGTTCAATGTTTATTCAAACATATTTAAATGATGCATAGAACCTAAAGAACCAAGACCTAACACAGTTTACCATATTTTATTTAATTATTAAATCAATAATACAATATTTTTGTATGGCTCTGTCAGTCATTTCATGAGTAATAAATGTTCAGCAGACTCTCAGACAAAAACAAACTCCCTTCAAAGAAAAAACACATTTCCCGAACATTAAATTAATAATCCAATATTTTCTTATGGCTCTGTTCAGACCGGTTCTAATATTAATCAAAAATCATCCCAAGGGCCAAGATAATTCATGCGCGGCCCAGATCTGGCCCCTGGGCCTTTACTTTGACAAAAATACTGGTAAAATACTCTATTCTTTCTAGTATTTCTGATTAATTCCCCTAGCCAAAGCAATTTCCTTGTCTGTGACTTCCTGTTACTTACATGGCAATAAAAATGATTCTGATTCTGAAAAGAAAATGCTCAAAATAAACTTTTTAACTTTTTCCGGTTCTCTCTCTTTCTCTCTTTTTGGTTGTTGTTGATGTATCTGTAAAAAACATGTTGACCCTGTACAGGATTAAATACCCCGCACCGGGGGATGACATTTCTGTTTTTATGAATCACTTTTTTCAATGAATTCACTAATTTCCAGCATATTTCAATGAGACAAAACAAGACATTTGAATATGGCTTGTGTCCTTTCTGCTTTTTATTATTTCATCATTTTTGTGCGATTCTCCACCGACTCCACTGATGTGTGCTGTCAATGTGTCCTTGGGCAAGACACTTAACCCACTCTGCCTATAAAGAACATGGGAGTAAGGTTCGCTGCTTGCCTTGATGTGTGTATGTGCAGTATATGTGTATGCGTTAATCTGAAATTTCCCCATTGTGGGACGAATAAAAGACCTTCTTCTTCTGATGTCGACATGAATGAGGCAGGTTTCAGAGACAGCACGTTCTCAAATGAATTCAATTTTCTCTATTACCAATTGTTCGCAGATCTAGGTCAGCAAAGTTAAAGGGAGTTGGAACAATCAGTACATTATGGTCTAATTCTTGGGACGTGTTTGAACAAAAACGTGACACACTTCCCAGATCGGGTTTTATAAATGATCCAAGAACTAGAACAAGACCCACATGGAAAGATAATGGGATGATGCGGTAAAAAGGTAACCAGGCCATGATTCCGACTTCCAAGTCAGAGCGACATAATGGTCTCTCATAGTTATAATCCTGACGTTAAGAAAAAATACTGCAAACGTACGGTATATGAAGAGATCTTTGGCAAAAAACAGATATTTCCGTTTGAAAATTAATCAAAATGTTGCATTACTCGATCTTCAATCTTCAAAATATGTGTTATCGGCCACACATTTGAAAGATATTGCTCCAGAAGGGGTGAAACTTTATTGTATGACATTAAATATACAGTTGGCGTGAAAAAATAAAAATAATAACATGGTAAAAAGTAAATTGTAAGCCTTAAAATATGTTTCTAATGCCACTTCTGTTTTGGAAATTCAACTATTCATATATACTGACACTAATAATTACTCAATAATAATATTCCTGGTTACTATGGATACAGGAGCAGCTTTGGAGACTTGTTACACATTGGGGTCACTGCAAAAAATGATAAAATATGAGGTAATTGCTTGAATTGAACGGTTTTTATCTTAATTCGAGGACAAAGCCATTTAGTCTTTTTCAGGAGCGCTGTTGATGTAAATCTTGTTATAAGGCGGTCAAAATATGCTAAAATTAAGATACATTTTGCCAAATTTGAGCAATTTTTGCCTTTTTTTGTTTTGCAGTGTTGTAGTCAGTTGATCCTGCAGTCATTTTAGAATTATCCGAGTCATAAAAGCTCTGGTGCAGGATGGGTCAGATGCAGAGGACACATTTTCCCGCGGGTCCAGTACAGTCTAAAGTACACTAAAGTGAGTATATTTAAATATTAAAGAACGGGCTGATAATATTATGCCTCATAGTGCAATCATCCATCCATCCATCCATTTTCTACCCTTTAATCCATTTCTGGGTCAGGGGGGTGGCAATCAGAGATGCCACCCAAGTCTCATAGCACCAGCCCCTCACTGACCCTCTGCAGGTGGTGAGTCCACAGGAGGACGGCTGCTCTCTGAGTGTGAGCATAGCCTTGATCTTTCAGTGGGGGCTTTGGGCAAAGTGGGGTTAAGTGTCTTGCCCAAGGACACAACGACAGCAGTCATCAGTGGGAGTCGGTGGATAAGGTGTAGAGGTGGGAATTGAACCCACGACCTTCAGGTCTGAAGGCCAATGCTCTACCAACTGAGCTACTGTCGCCCCAGTAATAGTGCAATCAAAATGTCCAAATTTAAATACGCAGTTTGTAAAGTTTTTACAAAGTGCTGCACAGATAAAAGTAACACATTAAAATATACAAGTCTGCTAGCTTTAAATAAAAACAGTCAAAATAAAAATGTAAAATAAAATAAATAAATAAAACAATTACAAAAAATAATTATAAAAGAAATAAAAATAAAAAAACAATTATCTATATACATGAATACACATAAAACAATAACATTTAAGATTAACAGATCCTTAATTCATCTCACAGTGGAGAACACAGTGGGGAACACAGTGGGTCATTCAGTGGAGAACACAGTGGAGAACACAGTGGGGAACACAGTGGAGAACACAGTGGAGAACACAGTGGACACAGTGGAGAACACAGTGGGGAACACAGTGGACACAGTGGAGAACACAGTGGACACAGTGGAGAACACAGTGGAGAACACAGTGGACACAGTGGAGAACACAGTGAAGAACACAGTGGAGAACACAGTGGGGAACACAGTGGAGAACACAGTGGAGAACACAGTGAAGAACACAGTGGAGAACACAGTGGAGAACACAGTGGGGAACACAGTGGGGAACACAGTGGAGAACACAGTGGAGAACACAGTGGACACACTGGAGAACACAGTGGAGAACACAGTGGACACAGTGGAGAACACAGTGGAGAACACAGTGGGGAACACAGTGGACACAGTGGAGAACACAGTGGGGAACACAGTGGAGAACACAGTGAAGAACACAGTGGAGAACACACTGGAGAACACAGTGGAGAACACAGTGGACACAGTGGAGAACACAGTGGGGAACACAGTGGACACAGTGGAGAACACAGTGGGGAACACACTGGAGAACACAGTGGAGAACACAGTGGACACAGTGGAGAACACAGTGGACACAGTGGAGAACACAGTGAAGAACACAGTGGAGAACACAGTGGAGAACACAGTGGAGAACACAGTGGGGAACACAGTGGGGAACACAGTGGAGAACACAGTGAAGAACACAGTGGAGAACACAGTGGAGAACACAGTGGAGAACACAGTGAAGAACACAGTGGAGAACACAGTGGAGAACACAGTGGAGAACACAGTGGAGAACACAGTGGAGAACACAGTGGAGAACACACTGGAGAACACAGTGGAGAACACACTGGAGAACACACTGGAGAACACAGTGGGGAACACAGTGGAGAACACAGTGGACACAGTGGAGAACACAGTAGAGAACACAGTGGAGAACACAGTGGAGAACACAGTGGAGAACACAGTGAACACAGTGGAGAACACAGTGGAGAACACAGTAGAGAACACAGTGGAGAACACAGTGAACACAGTGGAGAACACAGCGGAGAACACAGTGGGGAACACAGTGGACACAGTGGAGAACACAGTGGACACAGTGAAGAACACAGTGGAGAACACAGTGGACACAGTGGAGAACACAGTGGAGAACACAGTGGGGAACACAGTGGGGAACACAGTGGGGGACACAGTGGAGAACACAGTGGAGAACACAGTGGGGAACACAGTGGAGAACACAGTGGAGAACACAGTGGACACAGTGGGGAACACAGTGGAGAACACAGTGGAGAACACAGTGGGGAACACAGTGGAGAACACAGTGAAGAACACAGTGGGGAACACAGTGGAGAACACGGTGGAGAACACAGTGGAGAACACAGTGGAGAACAAAGTGGACACAGTGAAGAACACAGTGAAGAACACAGTGGAGAACACAGTGGGGAACACAGTGGAGAACACAGTGGACACAGTGGAGAACACAGTGGACACAGTGGAGAACACAGTGGAGAACACAGTGGAGAACACAGTGGACACAGTGGAGAACACAGTGGAGAACTCAGGGGCGAACACTGTGGAGAACACAGTGGAGAACACAGTGGGGAACACAGTGGAGAACACAGTGGAGAACACAGTGGAGAACACAGTGGACACAGTGGAGAACACAGTGGAGAACACAGTGGGGAACACAGTGGAGAACACAGTGGGGAACACAGTGGGGAACACAGTGGGGAACACAGTGGGGAACACAGTGGGGAACACAGTGGAGAACACAGTGGGGAACACGGTGGAGAACACACTGGAGAACAGTGGAGAACACAGTGGAGAACACAGTGGACACAGTGGAGAACACAGTGGGGAACACAGTGGACACAGTGGACACAGTGGACACAGTGGAGAACACAGTGGAGAACACAGTGGAGAACACAGTGGGGAACACAGTGGAGAACACACTGGAGAACACAGTGGAGAACACAGTGAAGAACACAGTGGACACAGTGCAGAACACAGTGGGGAACACAGTGGAGAACACAGTGGAGAACACAGTGGGGAACACAGTGGAGAACACAGTGGAGAACACAGTGAAGAACACAGTGGAGAACACAGTGGAGAACACAGTGGAGAACACAGTGGGGAACTCAGTGGGGAACACAGTGGAGAACACAGTGAAGCACACAGTGGGGAACACAGTGGAGAACACAGTGGAGAACACAGTGGACACAGTGCAGAACACAGTGGGGAACACAGTGGACACAGTGCAGAACACAGTGGAGAACACAGTGGAGAACACAGTGAAGAACACAGTGGAGAACACAGTGGAGAACACAGTGGAGAACACAGTGGGGAACACAGTGGGGGACACAGTGGAGAACACAGTGAAGAACACAGTGGAGAACACAGTGAAGAACACAGTGGACACAGTGCAGAACACAGTGGGGAACACAGTGGACACAGTGCAGAACACAGTGGGGAACACAGTGGAGAACACAGTGGAGAACACAGTGGAGAACACAGTGAAGAACACAGTGGGGAACACAGTGGAGAACACAGTGGAGAACACAGTGGAGAACACAGTGAAGAACACAGTGGACACAGTGCAGAACACAGTGGAGAACACAGTGGAGAACACAGTGGGGAACACAGTGGGGAACACAGTGGAGAACACAGTGGAGAACACAGTGGAGAACACAGTGGGGAACACAGTGGGGAACACAGTGGAGAACACAGTGGAGAACACAGTGGAGAACACAGTGGAGAACACAGTGGAGAACACAGTGGAGAACACAGTGGAGAACACAGTGGAGAACACAGTGGAGAACACACTGGAGAACACAATGGAGAACACAGTGGAGAACACAGTGAAGAACACAGTGGAGAACACAGTGGAGAACACAGTGGAGAAATGTCGGTGTTGCATCACCGGTTACAGAGCAGTATATGAGAAAAACACAGCACCAGATAAATGAACAAAAACTTTTAGCACAAGCCAATATTTTCTCAAGCTAGTTTTATGCATCCACTGTTTTTTTTCCCACATGTGCGTCTCGGATACATTCGCATTGTCGAGCAATCACAACAAGGAGGTGAATCTCCCTCATGCCATTAGCTTAATTAGAAGCATTCACGGCGACACCCGGCTCTCCGCACTCACCTTCTCCTCCAGGATGGGTTCACAATCGGAGTAATTGCTCTTGAGCGCCCATGTGCCATTATCCATGCATTCTCTGTACGCGCTCCCTGGAAGCAGAACAGCACAAAGACATCGTCAGGAGACTGCAGACACACAAATGCTGATTACAAATGACATGAACGTACAATTGAAGTGGGTTTGACACGGACTGTATGGGCCAAGATTATTGTACTCGCTTAAAGATGTTTCCAAAAACGCTTTTTGGGGCGACTGTCTCTGTCTTTGTGAAATGTTATTTGTTTTCTGTCTCTGATTTGAAAGCCTGCTTCTGCCGTGTATACAAAGATTTAAGAGTGTGTGAGTGAGAGATACGATTTACAGTGCAGACCAAAAGTTTGGACACACCTTCTCATTGAAAGAGTTTTTTATTTTCATGGTTATGAAAATTGTAGATTCACACTGAAGGCCTCAAAACTATGAATTAACTCATGTGGAATTATGTACATACAAAAAAAAAAAAAAAGGATGAAATTACTGAATATATGTCTTATATTCTGGGTTCTTCAAAGTAGCACCTTTTGCTCTGATTACTGCTTCACTCTTGGCATTCTCTTGATGAGCTTCAAGAGGACCTGAAATTGTCTTCAACAGTCTTGAAGGAGTTCCCATGATGCTTAGCACTTGTTGCCCCTTTCCCCTTCACTCTGTGGTCCAGCCCATCTTGATTGGGTTCAGGTCCGGTGACTGGAGGCCAGGTCATCTGGCCCAGCACCCACCACTCTTCTTATTGGTCAAACAGCCCTTACACAGCCTGGTGTGGATCTACAGTCAATAGTCATGAAAATAAAGGAACCTCATTGAATGAGAAAGTGTGTCCAAACTTTTGGTCTGTACTGTACATTGAATTGGCTAAGGCTTAAAGGCTCTTATACAGTAGATAAGACAAAAGAGTAAAAACGCTATATATATATATATATATATATATATATATATATATATATATATATATAATGTACTGTATATATATAAAATTATATATAGTGCTTAATTAAAATGAGATAATAAAACTGTATTGATCTTACAATGGAGAAATGTATAAATAAGAACCTTCTAAGCCTTCAACATAAGAGGACATAATGAACTTTATACAAATCGGGCGTTCTGCTCTCCCAAAATTTCATCCACTGAGCGGCGCTGTGATCAAAAAATGACACCGTTTGTTGCCCAGTTCACTTCCGGTTGATTTCATACAATGGCGAATATGGCTCACGAAAACAACAAACGATTGACAGTGCCTGAATTGCGTGAAAGGTTGAAGCGAAAGGGTATTTGCAGTGTGGGAAAACGAAAGGAGGAATTGTTGTTGCTAGTTCAACGAGCGGATGGTGTTTATGAAGATTTAGAAGAAGATGACAGCGAGCAGAGTGAACGAAAACGGCTGTGTGTGCGAGTGACAGATGGTAACAATGAGAATGAAGTTCAGCTAAGAGGGAAGAATGTGAATTGGACGGATGATTTGCGCGATATGCCACTAATTAGAGACGGGAATGTATTTGAATACAGAAAATGACGAAAACACTCAACCATTTAGAGAAAATGCGCCGGGCAGAGAGAACCGGAAGTTGCGAAGGCAAGTGTTACCCATAATGCAACGCAGAATTCAGTCGCTCCCCCGCCCATCGGATGGAATTTTGGGAGAGCAGAACGCCCGAATTGAATTGACTTCTGGACATTGGGGTATGAGACTGTGTACAGATGGACGAGGCTATCACCCAAGCTCAATGAAGTCCAATGGAAAAGTGCTCATGAACAAAGTTTTGCTCCAACAACTCTTCTCGACGAATCTCAGTAACCGTTTGTGTCACACTCACTATTTTGTGCTTTAAAAATCTTTGTTTTAACTCTCTCCCCGATCCTGGTGTTCATATTTTTATACTTTCTTTGTAAATCCAGATGTGAGCCGTACAAGGATTGACCAATCAGACGCTCTCATTTGCCGAGGACACTCCAGCTTGTATTAGCAATCACCATAGCAACACGCATGCCCCACAAAGACGATGCCATCAGAGGAAAAAGGGCCACATATCCTGAAACTGGCTTTTGTCCAAATTGGTCTCTTTCGCAAAGTCCACTCCTAACATACAATCTACGCATACAAATGACCTCATGTTATACTGTGTTTTATTTTGCAATATTAAGCTCAAAGATATGTTCGGCACCAGATTCTGCGGTCTCTGGTTTCATAAAAAATATACTCAAACACGTGACGTAAACATGTAATAATCGAGATAATCAGCAGCTTTCGCCAAAGCAGCGATCGGACACAGATGGTTCTTATGGCCGTACAATAATGGAGATTTACACTCTTAGATTTTATTGCTTTATCAAAATTATTACAAACAAAGGCTATGTATGTATATATCCCCCCAATCATGTATGGTTTTCACCTTACTGTACATTGAATTTTTCTGACCCCAGCCCTTTACGACCCTCACTTTATGTTTCTGTCCCTAACCTCTTAACACCCGCCTCATTTTGGCTTGTGCACAAAAGTTTGGCATACCCAAATGTCTTTGCTTATTTAAAAACACATCTTACATCTCACATGCTTGTGTGATGCATCATTTTAAAGCTAGAGCCTTCTAGTTTATGTAAAAAAACACTAAAATAATGTTTGTCATTCCTATTTTCCTCTGCATCCTTTGAAGTTAGGGAAAAAACCCAATTTTTTTAGCCTCGCCTAACATTTTCAATTTCTAAAGGCCCTAAAAAAGGCATACTTCATTGTAAGTTCACAATATTCAAACCCTCTGTTCATTGTGTTGTTGACAACAACTGTCTAAAGTTTCAGACTTCTAAGTTTTATAGTTTTTATGCAGTTTCTCCTTTTCATCAAGTAGTGCACATTTGGCACAATTTGGCACAAGTGTGCCAAATTGTGCCAAATATCTTTACTTACATTTAATCATCATAAAAACAATATTTTTTTTATTATTGGTACTTATAAGTTACTAATCTATGTGTGTTTTTCTTTTTTAAATGTCAAAGTTATTTTTTTATGAGTGTAAATTCATTGCAGCTTCGAGAGCGTCTTTTGGCTGCCATTACGCACAATTGTCCAGGCCCAACATAAGATAGGACACCATTGTCCCACCCCTTGTTCGAAAGCTTTCCTCATTGGCTACAAAGACATGTCAATCGTAAATCCCGGAAGTAAAAGCAAACAAGTTGGGATCACAACAAAGATCAGTGATCAATGCGCAAACAGCAGCACTAGCTGTACTCGCGGTAGCTCTTGCAGACCCAAAAATTGGTCTAGCTTTTCGGGAGTAGTCTCATTTGAAAGATAAGGAGCTAAGGAACACGTAGATACCAGATGTTTGGGTGAAAAACAAAGCTAAAAGTCCGTTAAAAGTGAAAGAGTAACATCTGTGCTCTTTTTTTTTTCGTTTTTTTCGCTAAAGATAAATGCACATTTTTTCATTGAGTATTGACTCCTGATTCATTTCAAAAAAGCAACAGACCGGTTTGGACTGGCTGGGAAACGTCTGGGGTCCAGATAGAACTTTCAATCAGGCCGGATGTTGCTCCCTGGCCTTACTTTTCCCAAGTTTGGTCTATATGGTCTGCTAGTCTTGAGCAAGCTGTACTATGGCGACCACTTCTCCTGAGAGAGACGGAAGGATCGGTCAAAAGCAGAGGACAAAATGCTCTGCCAGGATAAATAATGTGTACCTTAACCTTAACATACACACACCCACACACACATACAGCTTGACAAAAGACTACAAACTGAATACATGTACATGTATATCTCTGTCTATTATTTTGTACTTTAATGTGTTAATACAGGTCTTGATATAAACATTTTGATTGATTGAAAGAAGATAATTGTGGAAGCCAAAAAATAAACTTGGCAAAATTCCATTAAATATTTGTATTATTTACTTGATTGTGACTGAATACACAAGATAGTAGGGCTTGTTTGCATATGATGAGATAGACTTTATTGATCTCACACTGGAGAAATGTACCACATTTGGCATGGATAGAATCACTCAGATTGTGCAAAAGACAGAAGTGTTTAAGGTAAAACTTATAGTCTGTGCAGGATTTATTATGTACAATAAAATGGCAATGTTAAGGTTTTTCAGTCCTAGTTCCCCCAATGTAATCCCACAGTCCCACTCTTTTCACCCTGTACATTCCAGACATATAGACACCAGGGACGTGCAGTCAGGGGAGGCAGGGGAGGCAGAGCCTCACCTGCCATTATTGGAAACTAATAATTATTTTAGTTTAAATATATAATTTATATCCACTGTCCTATGCTTTTAATGTATATTCGGCACGGTTCCCATCAGTTTTGATCATTTCTGAAGTCAAAATCGCCGAAATCCCGTTATTCCTATTCAAAGAGACGAGGTGAGGCAGCGCTCCTGCGTGCCTCACCCCAGACCGCTCCCTCACAGTGTGTGTGTGTGTGTCTGAGTGCACTCAGCTCGTGCAGTTGATATATCACCGTTTGTTTCAAATATCCTGCTTTAAAAACATTTTTTAAACTCCTCTTAGTGTTTAGTAGTGTATTGCACGTATGTGTGTACAATTTATATTTAGTTTAAGTCTTTTGATCGTAGATGAACACACAAGGAAAAAGCTTGGCGTGAGGCAGGCGGTATCTGTGCCTCACCGCTAGGGGTGATAGTGAGCATAAAGTTCATACCAGAGTTGCTAACAAACAATCAGCCCAAAATGCTATTTCTTTTGCTGGAAAATGGATGATTTGAATGAAGATTTTTTTTCTCAATTGGACTTTCAAACAAAGAAAGAATTAATATAGACTGGGAGACCACCACTGGACTTACGAGGTTAGTCCGGCTGCGGGGGAGGAGTTTGTTAATCTGTGTTTTATGTTGAACATTGACAGATACCGGCAAAGTAGTGCTTTTCCGAAAAACACTGATTCAAACACTGCTCAAGAGTTCTGCAACTTGTTTAAATTATTGTTTATGTTCCTCGCGTCTCTCTCTCCTCGCGTCTCTCTCTCCTCGCGTCTCCGTCTCTCTCTGCTCCTCTTTGTCTCTCTC